CCCCCCCCCCCCCCCGAGGTTGCCAGCCTCACTCACCTTCTCTCCTTGAGCCGTCCCGGCTCCCCTGTGACATGGTCAGACTTGGCCTAGCCTCTGGCCCCGCCCCCTTGCCCTGGCTGGCCCCACCCATGCCGAGGACGGGACCTCGGCCTCGGCACCAGCAGTCCTTGGGGCCGGTGAGGCACCGAAGTTGCCCTCGGACGGTGGCTCGGCCAAGGGGTCCCCCTGTGGCCACTGCAGCAGCCCCTCCAGACTTCTCGGGCCGGGACTGTACCCCCTCCCGGGGCCCCGTTCTCTCTGAGCGCCTGGAGAGCTCGAACCAGGCTCCTGCCAGGGCGTGAGCTGGGCCTGGGAGCACCGAACCTCCCTTCTCCGGGCCCTGCTGCTAAACCCCCTCAGTGTGGTCTGCGCGTCCGGACCCCTCATCCGCTGCCCTGTCCTGCGCCCGCCCCGAGGGGCAGAGGCAGCAGTGCCTTACTCCTTTGTCCTTCTGCCTCCTCAGAGGAATCTGGCCCCGGCCCGCGCTCCTGGAAACCCAATTGGCCCCTTTTTCTCTTTTTTGCATGAGGTTTTCTTTGTCCCTGTAACTTTTTTTCCTAATTAAATGTTGAGAAATGGATGCAGTGTGTGGCTTTGTCCTCGGTGCAGGTGGCTGCTCCCAGAACGTGGAAGCAGGTGGGGAGGCTGTCGGACTCTGCATGAGCTGCTCGCCCTTGATGGGGGGAAGGGTGACTCGTTGCAGGGTTTCTGAGGACTTGAGGTGCTCTAGGGCGACGTCCAATCCATCAGTGAGTCCTGGTGGCTCCACCTTCAAGACACATGCAGAATCCGCCCCCTTCTCCCCACCTCCACTGCCCCCAACTGGTCCAAGCCGCCCTTGTCGCTTGCCTGGATGCCAGGGTACCCATTTCTGCCCTGGCCGCCCTCAGCCTCTTCTCAGCTTGGGAGGCACTGGGACCCTCCCTCTTAACATACACGGTGGACCTTGTCCCCACTCTGTTCAAAACCATCCAGGGCTTCATGGCCCCCAAACGCCTTCATATCTGACAACTCTTTACTGTCCCAAGTGCACTGCAATCACTGTGCTCCTACCTACCTCCTACCTCTTACCCTCTTATGCCACACACCTGTTCAAGTAAGCCGGGTGGGGAGAAAGCAGGATGCGATTTTAAATAGAGCGGTCAGGAATGATTTCCGGGTGAGCCAGAGGGATCCCCAGAGGAAGAGGGTTCCAGACTGAAGAGAACCAGTGCAAAGGCCTTGAGGCAGTAGCCAGCCTGGCATGTTTTGTTTTTTTTTTAATAAACTTACTTGAGGGCTTCCCTGGTGGCGCAGTGGTTGAGAGTCCGCCTGCCGATGCGGGGGACACGGGTTTGCGCCCTGGTCCGGGAAGATCCCACATGCCACGGAGTGGCTGGGCCCGTGAGCCATGGCCGCTGAGCCTGTGCGTCCGGAGCCTGTGCTCTGCAACGGGAGAGGCCACAACAGTGAGAGGCCCGCGTACCGCAAAAAAAAAAAAAAAAAAACAAAAAAAACCCCAATAAACTTACTTGAGGCAGGAGCCAGCCTGGCATGCTTTTGTTTTTTTTTTTAATAAACTTATTTATTTATATTTTTGGCTGTGTTGGGTCTTCGTTGCTGCGCACGGGCTTTCTCTAGTTGCGGCGAGCGGGGGCTACTCTTCCTTGCGGTGTGCAGGCTTCTCATTGCGGTGGCTTCTCTTGTCGCGGAGCACAGGCTCTAGACACGCGGGCTTCAGTAGTTGTGGCTCGCAGGCTCTAGAGCACAGGCTCAGTAGCTGTGGCGCACGGGCTTAGTTGCTCCGCGGCACGTGCGATCTTCCCGGACCAGGGCTCGAACCCATGTCCCCGGCATTGGCAGGCGGATTCTTAACCACTGAGCCACCAGCCTGGCATTTTTGAACGGCTAAGGAAGCCAGTGGGGCTGAACCACGATGAGCAAGCGAAAGGGTGGGAGTGGAGAATATTGGAGAGGAAACGGGCTGGATCACATCTGGCTTTTTTTTTTTTTTTTTTTGGCTGCACTGGGTCCTCGTTGTTGGGTCTTCGTTGCTGCGCGCAGGCTTTCTCTAATTGTGGCGAGCGGAAGCTACTCTTCGTTGCAGTGCATGGGCTTTTCATTGTGGTGGCTTCTCTTGCAGACCTTGGGCTCTAGGCGCGCAGACTTCAGTAGTTGTGGCGCGCGGCCTCAGTAGTTGTGGCACATGGGCTTAGCTGCTCCGTGGCATGCGGGATGTTCCCGGACCACGGATCGAACCCGTGTCCCCTGCATTGGCAGGTGGATTCTCAACCACTGCGCCACCAGGGAAGTCCCTCACATCTGGCTTTTCAGGCCACTGTAAGTTCTTTGGCTTTGTCCCTAAGAGTCCCTTTTGGAGATTCTTTTTAACAGAAGAGTGACGCAATCTGAATTATGTTTTAAACCAACCTGGCAGCTTCACCAGTTCACCTGTCAGGCCAAGGCAGTAGGCTGATTCTGGGCTTTGCTGGGTGAGGGAGGGAGAATCAGATTGACGTCGGGCCCTAGAGCCTGGGGTACTGTAGCTCGGGAGCTGCCGGCAGAGAGGATCCTGGGGATCTGCAGAGGGTCCCCCTGGAGTATCACGGGGTGCTGATCGGCACAAGTGTGTGAGGAAACCGCCCCGGGCCTGGGAAAGGGCTGCCAGGAAGGATTACAGGGAACTATGCTCAGGGCTCAAGCAGGCCCTGGATGAGCACGTGTCCCCACTGGCCAGAATGGAAACCTCGGAATTCAAGAGGCCTGAGGGAGGGCACTCAGAAGGGTCTTGCCTCAGTAGCGGGAAAATAATTAATTCTACAGTAGAAGCTGCTCTAGCGCCATGTAGCAAATCTTAGAAGCGAGATTCTAAAGAATCAAATTGTCTCCAAGTAACCACAGCACCTGAGAACAAAGTTCGAGTATGTTTACGGACACAAAAGTAGCCAGCACCCAAGGGAAAACATACAAGGTCTGCTATCCAAGCAAAAACACTGGGCATGAAAATAGTAAGTAAAGACCAGAAGGGGATAGATAGAGCAATCAATAAAAGGCAACCAGATTGGAAAGGAAGAAGTAAAACTTCCATGATCGCAGGGTATTTTAGAGGGAGCTAACTGCCCCTGCCCAGACCCTGAGCCAGGTGCGCCAGCAGTTTTCTTCACTGATCTGAAACAAAGCCAGTAAACTACAAAATTCCTAGCCTAGTGCTTCTGGGTTGTTTGCTCTTTTCACACACACTCAGTTTTTTATTTTTGCGGGACACTAACCTAATGGTGACATGGATGTGGGGAAACCAGAGTTGTGGTGGGAGGGCACAGTTTCTGGAGTGAGTAGAATAGAACCATTTGGGGAGGAGGCAGAGGGACAGTGGCGTGAAAGTGCTCAATTCTCATCTCCCCATCGATAATTAAAGTCTTAAAAATGGTTTTTAAAAAGGGAAGAAAGAAAAAGACCCTTGCTGTAGCCACCAGAGCTGCTGCATGCTGGCGGGGGAGATGCTCCATCATCACCGTCATCGCCACGCCCACCGCCACCATCCCCAGCACCAGCATCTCCCTCCCTCCAGCCCACACTGCCAGAGCTCTCTGGGTTCTGTGCCGGCAGACTCCGTTCACGCACATGCAGGAACAGGGACCGGATCTCTCCCGCACTGGCTTGAAAGAATCCCCTAAATGCAGCCAAAATATATGAAACACAGGCTGTGAAGAAACTGGGCCTCAGGTGAGGGAGGACCATCAGGGATCTCTGGGAGCTGAGACCCCAAAGAGGTGAGCCGTGCAGCTTCCCCAGCTTGCTGTCTACACGGACTGTCCGGACCGAGTCCAGCCGCCTCCCCGGGTCTCGGGGGTGGATCGCAGAGTGCACGCAGCCCGAGTTGGCGGGTGGAGGACCCGAGAGGACACAGCAGCACAGGGAGAGAACCGTGCCCAAGGGCGCAGGGTCCATTGGAGTGCGCCGAGGACCACTGAGCAGCATCAGTGTGGAAGGGAACTCTGCGAGGCGGGGAACAGGGCCACCCAAAGGATGGAAGGTAAGTCTGCCCAGCGCTCGAGCAGGACAGGGACTGGGGGCTGTCCGCACCGGCCAGAATGCAAACCTCATAACTGGGGAGGCATCCTGAAGGGGGCTCAGAAGTCTCGCGCCTCAGTAGTGTGGGAAAAAAAATGAATCCTATGGGACTTGCCCGGCGGTCTAGTGGTTAGGACTCCGCACTTCCAATGCAGGAGGTGCGGATTCGATCCCTGGTCGGGGAACTGAGGTTCCACATGCCACGGGGTGCGGCCAAAAACTAAAAAAAAAAAAAAAAGTGAACCCTACACTGAAAGCTGCTCTGGTCCCACAGAGCAAATCTTCAAAGCAAGACTCAAAAGGATCTGTCCCCAGTAACCTAACAGCATCCCAGAACAGAGCTCAAAAAATATGTCTAGGAATACAAAGATACCCAGCACCCAGGGAAAAAGGCCCAACGTCTGACACTGAAGAAGAAACTACCAGGGATACAGAGCAGCCAAATCCAATCCTTAACCAGGAGAAAAATTCATCACTGGAAGGCACGCAGATTGAAAAGGAAGAAGCAAAACTGCCTTTATTCTGAGAAAACGTGATCAATGATGAAAATCCAACGGCATCTACCAAAGAGCTACTAGAATATAAGTGAGCTTAGAAAGGCTGCAGGATACACCTTTTACAGGAAGCTAACTCCTTCTAACTAAAGGCTTAAACGACTGTCCTAGCACTTTTTCTTCACTGATCTGAGACAAGGCCAGTAAGCCACAAAGCTCCTATTCGAGTGTTTCTCGGTTGTTTGCTCTTGTCATACAAACCCAGTTTTTAAAAAAATTTTACCGAGGAGACCCAGTAGTGACAAGGATGTGAGAAACCAGCATTCTGGTGGGAGGGTACACTTTCTGTACAATTTGGAGAGCAATTTCACATACTGCAGTGTGAGAGCTTTACATATTTAACCAATTTACCTCTTGTAGTCTATCTTAAGAAAACAATCACTCAGGCAAAGCTCTACGTACAAGCATTCCACTGAATCATTACCTATATAATATGGCAAAAATTGAAAATAATTTAAACATTCAATAATGTATCTTTTATGTATCCATTCAATAATGCTTTTGGAGAATTTTTAGAAAAAGGTTCATGTTAGATGAAAAATATGAGGAAAAATGCTAAACTTGCAAAATATTATTACTGTTACACATTTACTACATAAATACCACTATAAAACTAAGAAAATATTCCAAAATGTTGACAGTAGTTAATACTGAATGAAAGACAGGACCTATCCTCTTCCATTTCTTAAACTGTCTTCAGTTGCGTTGTACTACTTGGATATCTGAATCACAGAACCTCCCCTCCAATTTAAGGACAGAGGCAAGAATATTTAAAGGTGCTGTAGTTGAAAATAAAGTCAGACATAGCATCGTAGCTCAGTTTTTGTTTTTTTTTTTTAAAGATGTTGGGGGTAGGAGTTTTATTAATTAATTAATTTATTTATTTTTGCTTTGTTGGGTCTTCGTTTCTGTGCCAGGGCTTTCTCTAGTTGTGGCAAGCGGGGGCCACTCTTCATCGCGGTGCGCGGGCCTCTCACTATCGCGGGCTCTCTTGTTGCGGAGCACAGGCTCCAGACGTGCAGGCTCAGTAGTTGTGGCTCACGGGCCCAGTTGCTCCGCGGCATGTGGGATCTTTCCAGACCAGGGCTGGAACCCGTGTCCCCTGCATTAGCAGGCAGATTCTCAACCACTGCGCCACCAGGGAAGCCCCATAGCTCAGTTTTATTTTCAGTAGTTAAGAAACATTTAAGCACCAAACAAAGTAAGTGAACCCTCAGCACCCAAGGGCCAGTAGAGGCAAAAGATGAGGCCCCCATAATAAAGTGGCAACTACTACAGAAATCACTGCCCTAGGAGGGATGCACTGTCTAGGAAGGGACACAAGTTTAGACCTTAATCCCCTTCTCTAGCCCTGGCTTAGCGTGCAACAGGGGGCCCAAAGCGCTGCATGGTCCGTATCACCAGAGAAAGCTGGTCAAGAAAGTTGACGATGGAAATTTGGAGGAGGTGGGAATCTTCAGCTCTCCAGTGGCTAAAAGTGATGGAAAAAGAAAATCAAGGTGATGGTAGCAACCCCTCCAGTCCCTCTCTGGCTCTGCCCCTCTATGACACCGAAGCTGCTGCCATCTCCATTGGAGTGCCCGCTGGGGCGGAGATGGGTCCAGTGCACCGCGTCACCTCCCTAGATCCAACCCTGGAGTATCTCCGAGTCTCCAATAGAGCGCCCTTGGGGGAGTCTGGCCCGGCCACCTGCTGCCACTCCCAAGCAGCCCTTTCTAGAACTTACACCGCCAGGACGCTGCCGCTTACTGTGAGCTCCTTCCCAACAGCCCCATGGTGCAGTTCGGCATCTGGGGCCAGGGACCCACGGGCGATCTCCGCCTCCAAGGTGGACGGGAAAGGCACACTTAGGGCGCTGATGGAGATTCGGTTAAGGCAACATCCACACGGATCTGGTGCTTTGGGCCCTGTCTCAGGGCACCCTGACCAGCCTCACCCCTTTCAGAACTGCTTCCAGCCCCCCAGACCACGCCCGGCCTTAATCCACCCCAGCCGCCCCGCTGCCCCGTGCTCTCATTTCTTCGCCCCCAGGCGCCCCGGGTTTCCTTCTGCTCTTATTTCTCCCCCTCAAGACCACCCCGCAGCAGCCCCTGACTCCCCCTTCTCCCCTTCGCTCCCAGGCTGCCCCTGGCTCGTGCGTCCCTCTGTCCCACCTCCCACCGCACGCAGCCTGCAGCCTATTCCCCACTCCGCCCTCGGGTAGGATACAATACGTGTGGCCGGCTTCCCGGCCTTCTGGCTGTGGACGCGGGGTGTCCGCCCGGCCCCGGAGAGTGCTGTGCCGGCGCGGCACACAGAGCTCCGTCGTTTGCAGCGGCAGCAGCACCCCCGCTGCGAGGGCCGCCCCGGCCCCCCCTGCCCCCGCTGCCCCCCTGGCTGTCCAGGCCTTCAGCGCCGCCCGCCATCCTGCCTGCGCCTGCGTCCGCCTCTGCCGCCTGCATGGCTGCAGCGCGCTCTGCCTCCGACTCTGTCTTCGGGCCGCTGGTCTCCCCATCCGCTCTCTCCGCTGTCGGATAAGAGACAACGGCTCCTTCCTGAAGCTCCGCCCCCTCGCGCTGACTCCGCCCCGTGCGCCTGCGCAAACAGGCCCCGCTGAGGCCGAGGGGGTGCGTGGTGGCTTCCCGCGGAACCGGCCGGGCTGGGCGTTCTCCAAGACTCCCTTGGCCGCAGAGAAACTGAGGCTCCCTCCCAAAGCCCTGGCCCTTCGCAAACTGTGTGACGCGATTTTAACTTCCTTTTTCTGTTTTCCTGCAAGTTTTTGACAGTGACCTTATACGACTTTTTTTTTTTTTTTGCGGTACGCGGGCCTCTCACTGTTGTGGCCTCTCCCGTTGCGGAGCACAGGC